TTTGACCATGGTGCAGTGCTTTTCTGTTGCTCCAGCACTTTTGTTGACATGCACTGGCCCTAAACACAACTTCCTGTGATCTTCAATAAACATAGGTATTTATTACTTATTACTGGGTTTACATTTGGCAGTTCTTTCCTTGTCATACACAAGAACCTGGACTATTATTGGTCCATTCAACTGTAAAAATCACCCCAACAGCTCATACAGAAACAACTTTCATGCCTGTGGCTGTGGACTGAAAATGCACTGGAACAACCCGTGGCATCTCTAGAGATCATACTATAGACCAGGTAAATTTATTAGATTGAAACTGTCATCTTCATTCCACCATATGAAGATGCTTCAGGATCAAATTTTTAAATATCAGCTAGCTGCCCTCTGAACTCAGAAAATGGTTATTCTTTGTTATAGTCTTACCTGTTTGTTGTTGTTGGTTTTTATTTCCACAGAAATGCCTTTCATTTAATACCTGCTTGCTAAAACCATATAGCACCATAACTTTTATGGGGGCTCATCTGCAGCACTGTCTCTTGGAATGACACACAACACTTTATGCGAACTGACCTATTCTCAGGAATAAGAGATTGGTTCAATATGTAAGATACAGGACAATCTACCAGGTAAGCTGTTAATGTGAAATTTTTTGAAAATAAAATTTCAAACAGGGGACTGTAAGAGACAAAAATATGTCATCTTAATAATGTTACCTTGACAAAGAGAAATTTTTGAGCTGAAAGCAGCTGAGAAAAAGAAGATAAAAGAAAAGGTCTGCTCTCTCCTATTTGCCTCAAATCAAGAAACAAATTTACCAAGGTATTCTTCTTCCCCTCTACAAGGACAGAGGTTGATCACTGAAGCCAACTTTACACTATTCTTATCCTGGAGGTCAGCATCAGATAAATCTACATAATAGCTTTTACTAACTACCTTTATCTTCTGTGTATTTGCCATCCTACAATCTACCACTTCTAGGACCTCAAAACCCTTTTTCTTGATCTTGTCACTCCCTCTAAAATTTTCCTGTTGTTTGTTGAAGATGCTATGCAAGCCTGAATTCAAAGACATCTCTTTGAGATTTACTCATTTCTCTGGGTATTTCCCATACACAGTTAAGGTACACATGTTGTTAAACTTGTTTAAAAACAAACAGTTGTTAAAGAATATCTTTAGAGGAATTGAATGTAACAAAGTTTAATTGAACAAAGAATGATTCATGAATTAGACAGCCCTCTGAAGCAGAAAAGATTCCAACAATTGTGCTCTACAATGTGGGCAGGCAGCATTATGGGCAGCAAAGGGAATGAGGTATAGAAACAGCTCAATTGGTTAGAGATTAATATATTTCCCTATTTATATAGTCTGCTCAGTTAGCTACTTAAAATTTAGTAAAGTTTCAGTGCTTTTGAGGCAGGTGGTTAGGGCATGGTCAGCCAGCAGACAAGTGGGTGTTACCTGTTTACCACAAAGATTCAGGAAACACATGCCCAAGCCCTGCATTTTGAACCAATCAGAAAGCGCTGTCTTCCGTTCTTCTCAGGAGAATACAGGCAGGTTTTTGATAGGATGGCCTGACATCACCCTGAGGAGTGAGGGATACAAAAGATGGCTGCCATTAAGTTCTTGGCCACTGTGCTCTCTTCCTTCATAGTGGCCTGCTCTCACCTGGTAGATTGTAGGTTTGTTTGTTTGTTTGTTTGGTACCGGGGATCAAACTTGGGTCCTTGCGCTTGCGAAGCAGGCGGCAGAACCACTGATGTAAATCCCTGGACCGATTGTAGTTCTTTTCCTACTTTGAATTAGCCTACACTCACTCTGCAGAGCATTTTTCTTCTCCTACCTTTAATAAATGTACAGTTTCACAACTTTTTTGCTTGATTTGTCGAATTCTTTGTTCAGGACAAGAGGAATCTAAAATGAATCTCTAGAAGGAGTTTCCAGAACCCCAGAGCCTGTTAACACTTTCACTGACTGAGACTTAACTAAATGTCTTAAAAATATATTGCTAAGTTATGTTTTCAGTTATTTTATATTCTAATTTAGGTTGTGAGTCTTTACATAATGACTCAAAGTAAAAAAGCATCCTTAGACCAAATTTAATTTAGTTTAACACACAAAAAAACCTTTTATTCTTTGAAAGACACTGTCAAGAGAATGAGAAGACAAACCACAAAGTGGAAGGAAAAAGTATTTGCAAACACATATCTGATAAAGGTTGTTGTCTTAGTTACTTTTCTCATTGCTGAGACAAAATATCTGATACTCAAAGTTAAAGGAGGAAAGGTATATTGTAGCTCACATTTTGTAGAGTGTAGGAGCATTGGCCAGAGGTATAAATTAGATGGATATGCAGAAGTAAGGGACTTTGGGAGCCACATGCCCAAAACTTCCTAGAATGCATGGTTAGAGATTAAAAGAAACCTACAGGGCCATAAATCCAAGCAGGATTAAAATACATTGCCTTAAGGAAAAAATGCTCTGACTTTTGTCCTCCTCACACTCCATTTTAACATTTCGATTGATCCCATGGTCAGTCATTTAGTAGACCACCCCAACCTTCCCCTGTCCCCTACATAAGTTCTTGCCCAGATACCCTTTCTTCTTTTATCCTTGCTTCTTGGTTCTATCAATAAAAATACACAGAGGCTTCAGTTTGGGGCTATCTTTATGAGACTTTCTCATGCTGACAGGTCTCAGTTAAGAACAGCCCCTATGGGTCTTCTTGGAGTTTGAACTGGACATTGACTCTGAGTAATCTTTCAACCTTTTACTATCCCATGGTCATGGACAGTGACAAGTGGTGCCCAGTGTGAGGAACAAATTGGTGGACCTCAGTACAAGAGGATAGACCTCCCAAAGCCTGGAAAAGGTGCAAGGACATCCAACTTCACATCCCAGAAAGGTAAAGGGTCAAAGGTGGCCATGGAATAGCCTGACACATCTTGGCAAGGTTGCAGGTTAGGCTTATCACCCCAGTGGTCTTTTAGCTGTTCAATTGCTAAGTGAGCAGGGACAGTTCATTTGTTCTTCTTTTTGCTCTTTTACTTTCATTCATACTGTATGGATCAAATTTTATCCAAAGAGGAAAAGCAATTTAAGCAAAATTTACAATGTCTCTTAAAGACATCTGGATGTAAAGTTTTTCAACCTCAATTTATTAAATTATTCATAGTTACTCAACAACATTGTCCATGGTTTCCTCTGAAGGACAGCCTAAAGATGGAGGACTAGGAACATGTGGGCTGAAAATTGAGACAGTCATTAGGTTTTGTAAAAGCTGTACACCTTGCTATCTGGCATCTTTGCATAGCAACTATTCAATCTACTCAAACAAAAGAAGTTCCCTTAAAAAAGCTTTCTCCTATTGTAGACAGCAAGTTAATTAGAAATATTATAGGCAGTCAAGTAGGGCTGGCCCCTCAAAGAAGGTGATACAAAGGACAACTGTGGCTGGAGGCAAACATCACTGAAAGCCAGGCTGTAAGGAAAAGAGGAACTATCACACCCACATACTTCCCCTAGGGATGAACAGCAGTGATGATATTCTATATAGGTATCAGTCACCTTGGGTGGGGACCAAAACCTCCCTACCCCATTCCTTCCTGGAAAATCGTTGTTACTTGACTTGCTTCCCCATTTGATCCCCATTTAATCAATATTATTTAAGTAACTGTACTTGTGTAATCTTATTGGTTGACCATAGTTTTGTCCCACTTCATACTCAACTTGTGATTTCCCATTGGATCAGTGTGACCTAAGAGCCTATACTTTTAATCTTATCAGTTGCGTATAGTTTTGTCCCACCTAGAACCTGCCTCACCTTGTGGTCTTGCTCAATAAAACACCCTTGAGAAGTTGGGTTAGTGAGCAACCCACTTTTTGAGGCCCCCTTCTGTCTCTCTTAGACAGAAGTTTTCTTTTCTTCAATAAATTCTTCCTGTAAGACCGAGGGCCTTACCAAACGCTCCAAGGAGCTGACTATAGTGAAGCACACCCAGGGATCCCAGCGGTGCCTCCAGAATGCAAGGCCAAGGGCCTTACCAAATGCTCCAAGGAGCTGAAGTGGAGCACACCCGAGGATCCCA